GACACTGCGGCGCAGGACAGTCCTGCCTTGGGTCCTAACTCTGGGACAGTCTCAGCTTCTGCGGCCTTGCTTTCTGATAGCAGGTGAAATAACGAGCCTGGAGCTACACCCACTGTGTGTTGTGTAGGTGTGCGGCCTACAGGAGCATCTTATCTCCTGGGGATTCCGCAGCGCTAACCTCGGGTTTCTTTTCCCGGGAATCTCCCTCGGGGCTGTCCGGCGCTCCAGGGGACCTGTACAACGACGTGGGGCTGGCCTTCTCCCAGCTGAAGCGGTTCCCGGAGGCGGCGGCGGGCTTCGAGAGGGCGCTGCCCCTGGCCGGCGCCGAGCCGCGCAGGCGGGCGGTGGTGCTGCAGAACCTGGGCGCCGTCCGCAATGCGCTGGGCGAGTACCCGCAGTCGCTGGAGTACCACCGGCAGGCGGCGTCTCTGCACGGTGGGCACCCTCCTGCCCGCACACTCCCAGCATGCTCCTCCTCCGTCCCTCTCCCTTTATACACGTGTGAGCGTCAACCAGCAGTGCCATCACAGGAAGAGCGCTTTAGAAAAAAACGCTGAGACAGGGCCCCCTGCACATCAGATCATGACAGCGGTTCCATATGAGCAGAGCAGATCCCTGGCTTGTTCGCATGATAGTTGCTTCTTGATCTAAGGCCCGTGAGAAACCCATAATGGTGGAAGATTCTCATAAAGCATGGTGAAGTGTGCAAGTTAAATTTACATGAGAGCATTTCAGTAATTCCCATTTGGTGGGGACAGTGTAACAGTGGGTAAGCCCCCTTTCACCATGACGTAATAATAATAATAATTGCTTACACTTCTACAACACCTTCCTGGACACTCCCCTCAAAGCGCTTTACAGGTAGTGGGGTAGGCCCCATCTGGATGATGCACCATGATGATGATGCTCTCCATCTCTCTCTCTCTCTGCCAGGCTCGCTGGGCAATCGCAGTGCCCAGGGCCAGTGTTTCAGTAACCTGGCCTTTGCCCTCAGCCAGCTGGGAGAGCACGAAGAGGCTGGGGAGTGCTACCTGCACGCCCTGCAGGCCTTCAAGGACACAGGTTTGTCCGACGGCTCACGACCGGACAGCCAACCAGCAAGTCGTGCTGTTCCGGCTCTTCTACGTCTTCGAGGGGAACTGCGATGCTATTTTTAGATTTTGGGGTTAGAAAGAATCAGCATTGACAAGTGCATTTCAAACCACCATAAAAGTACAGCGTACACAGTAATTTGTCAAACCCCCAATCACAAAATAGACACAAATTTCAGGTATGTGCAGCACCATGTTCTGCAGTTTAGAATGAGGCAACAAAACTTCTGGTGAGGTGAAGCGGCCCTATTGCACTGCAAGTAAGCAGGCTTGTAAATACAGCTCTTTTAATCCGATATAAATATTGCACACGATTTGCAGACAAATTCAACTCTGCATGCGTCTCACATCAGAACATTTCTGTGGTGACGTGTCTGCTGCACAACCTGCACTTATTCGCTCGTACATCACAGTATATTAGTCAGTACAGTGACTAGTGAGCAGGAAGGACCGCTTCACGTCACAATTCGAGGGGGCTCGAATGTGAGTTTGCGACAACAAGGCGACTCACAGTACTTTCACGAAGTTCACGATTTCGTGCTTAATTCGAAATTTGTGAATTTATTCTCTAAAGGCAATGAATTTGTTACTGAGATTTAATAACCGGACTGAGAAATTGGGACTGCAGATTACTAACCACTAAGCCATAAACCTAAAATTCAT